CTGAGGCTCTGGCACAGGTTGCCCAGAGAAGCTGTGGCTGCTCCATCCCTGGGAGTGTTCCAGACCAGGCTGGATGATTCTTGGAGCAGCCTGGGCTAGTGGGAGGTGTCCCTGCACATAGCAGGAGCTTTAAGAGGTCCCTTCCAACCCAAACCAATCTATGATTCCATGACAAGCCTCACTGGAGCTGTGACATGGACACACAGCCCAAAGCCAGCCAAGCTGCCTGTGCCACAGGTGAATGTGAGATGTTACTGAGCACACCAGAAGGAGCATTGCTGCCTCTCTCACCTCCAGCTCCAGCTCCCTGCCCAGGGCCAGGTAATTGCTTTTCAGAATGATGTACTCTTCTGCCAGCTCCTTCCGACTGCTCTCCAGGGCACTCAGTCGTTCCTGCAGGGCATCTCTCTCCCCTGTGACCCTCTCACTGCACAGCTCCAGCTCCTGCACGCGCTTCTCCAGGGCCAGGACCTGTGGAGGGGAGGCAGCAGGATTACACTGTGGCAAAGAGCAGCAGTAATCACAGGGAGAGGTGTTTCATGTGAGCTTCATAGTATTTGGGAGGTCAGGGGGAATTAACTCTTGCTGAAGCCAGGAGAACATAACAAGCAAGGCAGAGCTGGATGTGCACTGAGCTGCAGTGCTGGGTGAAGGCACTGGCAGGCTCAGACAGGTTACTGCCCAGTTTGAGGTACCATATTTTTCAGTTCAAAGTTCTCTGTCTCATGCTGCTCCTTCATCTTGTTTGTCTCGATCTGGAGATCAATGAGGTCTTTGGAAATCTAGGAGAGAGAAGGCACCATGGGTGGACTCTGAGGCCAGCCTGCTGTTGGGGCACAGCACTGTCCCCTCTGGAAGGAGGAACTTCCCCCTGCAGACCTGCTGGCTTCGTGTGGCCTCACAGATCAGTTCTCTCCAACTCCCAAAGTTTTACCTTCAGTTTTTCCTCTTCGCTGAGGACCATCCTGGCAGGGAAATCTGGTTTGGAGCCAGTCAGCTTCCCCATCCCCTCCTGTGGGTCTCCAAGCAGGTACATTCCCTCGTTCCCGTCCTGCAGCTGCACCTGGAGATACAGCACAGCTCTGCCAGCTGAGCTCTCCTCCCCCTGCCCCTCACCCACCATGTGCTGCAGGAAGAGCTCAGCCCATCTAGCTTTCCTGAGCCTGGAGAGACTCTAGATGGGATTTCAGCTGCCATTTCCCTTCTGTGATGAGGATTTCATTCCATGGCGCAGGAAGGGGCTGCAGACCTTCCTACCTGTATGTGTCCTTAGCAAGATGTTGCAGGTGCTCTGCCAGGGTACTTACATTCTCATTCTCCACAGCAATTCCAAGATCCATGTGCTTGGAGCCTGGGATCTCAGGAGGCTGGGATCTCTGCACAGTGTCAGGCAGGCAGCAACTGAAAAGCAGAGGAAGGACCTAAGGATCTCTATGGAACTTCTCCCTGGAGGTCCAGCACTGTTGCTATCAACTTTGGTTACTAGAGGGTGTGGCATCCACCTCGCCTTTAAGGTGGAGCAAATAATTCCAGCCACCCTGGGAGCTGTTAGGGGGAAAGAAATGACACTTCTCAGGTGGTTTCTGTATTTCCAAGTCAGCACACAGCAGATATTGGAACAAGCAGCTCAGGGAACATCCCAGTACAGCAATACTGCTAGCTAGGAGGTGCCACTCTGTTATGGACTGTTCCCAAACCTGCTGCAGGGGTGGTCTCCATCTCTAGTGCAGGGATCTTCCAGGACTTACAGGGGCTGGCAAAAAAGAGGGAGAGGGATTTTTCGATGGGGAAATAGGACAAGGAGAAGGGTTTTAAATGGAAAGATATAGATGTTAGGAAGGAATTGTTCCCTGTGAGGGTGCTGAGGCACTGGCACATGTTGCCCAGAGCAGCTGTGGCTGCTCCAACCCTGGGAGTGTTCCAGGCCAGGCTGGATGGGGCTTGGAGCCACCTGAGCTGGTGGGAGGTGTCCCTGCCCAGGGCAGGAGCTTTAAGAGGTCCCTTCCAACCCAACCCATTCCATGATTCTATGATTCAAAGATCTGATTAACCCATTAATTAACCCATTAACCCAACCATCAGCTCCAAGACAATCCAGTAACGTCCAACTTGCTTCCAGGCAACTTTCTCTGGGTCTCTGCAGTCCTTGTACCTCCCACATCGAGGAGCTGCCCAAAAGGTCCCAGGACCTCAGAGCTCTGAACAAGCTGAAGCTGGTGGCAAGAAAAACCTTCCCCAGTGTATCCCTTTGCCTAATATATGCTGTGTGGAAAAACATGTCTCAAAGCAAAACATGCCCTGAAACAAACCTGGATCAGTCCAGACAGTGTTAAATCCTGGATGTGCTGGTCTACACCTGCTGCTGGCTCCAAACTGGCTCCAGCCAGGCTGGAACAGGACAAATCCCAAGCGTATGCAGAGCTAAAAGTACCTGTGAGGGTAAGAGGGAGTGTAGGACATGCTGGATAATGCTGGAAAACTTTGAGCAGGGGTAAAAGCAGATGGACTAGGTGACCTTTAAATGTCTCTTCCAACTCAAAACTATTCCATGTTTCTATCACTCTGAAATGAATTCCAGTTCTGATTCTCCTCATTTCAGGCTTATTATCAGTGCTATTTCTGTGGAGTGGGTGAGTTTAGGTAAGAATCTGTCTCTTAGGGAGAAAAGTTTTGACAATATAATGTTCAAAAAAGACCAGAGCTCTGAATAACTCCTCAGGATCTGTCAGAGCCACGAGGGCGAGAGGGAGAGGAGCCACCCTGAGTGGAGCTCTGAGCTCAGCAGAGCTCCTCACTGCTGGAGAAGCCTCTGCAGCTCCTCAACGTGCATTGCACGAAAGTCCACGGGGGCAAGAGCAGGGGCTGAGCATTTTGGGGGGCTCAGGGGAAGGAGAGGCTAATGGAACATGCAATTACGGCTTATATTTTGTCTGTAAAAGCACTTCACAGACCTGCAGTCATTTTATTAAGGTAATGAAAGTGGTGCTGAGGATTCAGTCTCTTCACACCCCCCGCCCAGCAGAAAGCCGAATTCACACTCCGCCCACGGCTCGGGGGGCTCGGGAGCCTCTGGGGGCACACGAGTGGGCACCCCACGGGCTAGCACCCCATCCCACACCTCCTGCTGCTGCCCTGGGCGCTCGGGGGTGAACAGCCCCCAGGCTGGCACAGCCGGTGCCTCCTGAGCCGCACAATTAGCAGCACTAAACTCCACCCTGGCGCAGATGCCTTGCTGGCCCCGGGAAGGACAGCGACCACTTTGCCCATGGTTTGGGAATACAAAGCAAATTTTGTCCTGACCAACACCAAAATTAGCAAATCGGGGCTGCAAAATGAGGTTTTCGAGTGTCACTGCAGCCCCAAAGCTCTGTCACTGCTCCGGAGCAAACCCGAGCAGCAGGTTTGGGGTTTGTTCACCCCAGCAGCTCTGTGCGAGTTGTGCCACTCTGCTCCTCAAGGACACCCAGCACAGGTGGCTGTGTTACTCTCCTGCTCCGGGGGTGACTCCCTCCCTCGGGACGCAGCTCTGAGATGTGAAAACGCTCCCAAAGCCACCGGAGCTGACGGGGAAAGCGGCTGAAGATTCGGAGCGCGGAGCTCACCGTCCGACTCCGGGCGGT